AAGAGCCACATGTGGCTCGCGAGCCGCGGTTTGCCGAGCCGCAGTTTGCCGACCACTGTAGGTGATCTGAGTACCCTTAATATCCAAAAACAGTGAGTGCGTTTTATGTAAGCAACAAAGGAAAGGCATGCTCAATCTAGCAGGTCCTCAATGAATTTAATGAATGAATATCTATTTGAGCTATGTACTGTTTTTGACCCGTGAGTTCCATTCACTGTAGTTCTTTAATAATAACTTTACTATAATATTTATGTAGAATAAAACACAGTGCTGGTAGTTCATCTATTCTTTAAGCAACACTGAAAGAGTGTGTACTGTGCACTAGACACTGTGTATTAGGACTGCAGCATCATATACATCAGCGGTTAATTCGAGGGCTTTCTTGGCCTTTTCCTTTTACAGTGAGAGGATAGGACCACCTTGGTCAATTCCCAATAATGGTCTCTTATTTCTGCCCCAGGCAAACAGGGCGGGGCTCCACGAGAAGTTTCCTGGATTCCTTACCAGTGGTCGGCAAACTCATTAGTCAACAGAGCCAAATATCAACAGTATAACGATTGAAATTTCTTTTGAGAGCCAAATTTTTTAAACTTAAACTATATAGGTAGGTACATTGTTATTAACTTAATTAGGGTACTCCTAAGGCTTAGGAAGAGCCACACTCAAGGGGCCAAAGAGCCGCAGTTTGCCGACCACTGCATGCCAACTGCTTACCTGTCCCCAAGAACTCTGGATAACTAATTAGATATGCTGTTGCCAAACTCTTGAAAAAATGCTGTTAACACCCTCCCACTACTAGAATATTTTGTCTTCTATTTTGTATAACAATAAGGAACATTTCATTTCAGATACAATGTGAAAGCAAACCAACAAACCCCCCAAAAAACCCCAAAAACCATTATGCTCTGGTGCTCCTCATGCAAGACTGGCTTACCTGGAAACCAAATGAACAAAATTTCATTTGTTCTATAGGAAGACTGATGACTCAGTCCTGGGGACACATATTTTACATATGTATGCAAAATTCAAGAAAGTAGGTATTCCAACTTTAATTTTTCTAACTTTCTTTGGGTGAATGGGCACTGTGAATGGAAGAAAATCTGTAATATATTGCAACATCACTAGGAGACCAAACAAAGTTCTGAAGCGATTTGGAATAGGAGAGAAAAGTGTATGATAGGAATCCATTTGTAAAAATCCAGCATTAGAAAGGCTACCCTCCCCAAGAAGTGGCCTGTGGAATGTCAGGGTGACCAACATTCTCCTGAAAAATTATCCTATTATCAGAAATTCCCTAATTTGTAAAAAAAAAAATGGTATTTTGAAAAAATAATCAATAGCATAAAATTTGAAGAGGAGAGAAAAAAGCAATATAACATGCTGGAGTGTTTGCTTCTTAAATTGTTCATTAAGACTGCTTAATAAAAATGTACCAGCTCATTTTTGAAGTTATTTAAGATGCTACATTAGCAATGATTTGTAGCAAATGTTTCATCCAATAAGTTCTAAGTAATTGTGAAAAGATTTAATGAAGTGCCTATTGGATATTGGAGTGCTCTGCGGGTTGTTGCAGTTTGCAACTCATGTTATTCTTATTTTAAAACAGTGTTCAGTTCTCTCTACAGGTAAATGTAATGCATGAATAATTGCCTATATATAATTTCAATTAGTTGCTTTAAGCAAAGGCAAATTCACTAGAAATGTGCTAAAACTCAGCAGGTATATTGAACCAGAATCCAGAAACTAAATGTGAAATAAAATATAGTTTGGAGAGATCTTTTGCCCTATGAGATTTCTACATTTTCAATTCCTAAAAGAGAATTACACATATATTTTCCTCCAAAAAATGTAATAAAAACTTTTTATCTATCAAAGGTCAAGAAATTGTCAATAAATACTCACATCTGTTATGAGGGGCTGTCCTGTGCCTAGTAGGATATTCTACGTTATTCTTACCCTCCACCCACTAGATTCCACTGATATCTCTCCCGAGTGTGACAACCAGAAATGTCTATAGACTCAGACAAATGTACCCCAAGTGAGGAAGGGGGCAGAGTAGTATCAGTTGAGAATCAGTGTAAATTTGCAGTTTTATGCATAATCCCTTGAATAATTTGTATTAAGATATTCCCAACTACTTCTTGAACTTTGAATAGATATGTCTCTATCCTCCCCACTCCAACCATTTTCACTATGTCAATTATAGACGCAGGAAAATTCACAGTCATTCACTGTGTCAGTAAAATTTCAAGTTATTGTGCTGGATTCAGACCATGTATCTTCGCAAGTTAGAGTCTCAACCATAAATGTTCGTCTATTTCTATTTATTATTTTTATATGCCTACATAAATGTTTGAGTATTAGAATGATAAAATTAGCCTTTTATGACTTATAAAATTCATTCATTTCTAGTTACATAGCTATGCTATTTCTCTAAACATACAAGTTTGTTTGTTTTTTCTGGTTACATTTTATTTATTCAGAAAACTTGTAGCCAACATGTACTTTATATCAAGTACTAGTTCATTTGGGGGGGCAAGAATTGATGTGTAAGACATGGTTTTTGCCCTTATGAAACTTACTAACTCAAATTGGATTAAAAATAATAATATAGTTATAGGTTTGTAATAGATTACATTAGCAAGATATTTGTGAGATGTTAATGTTTAACATGCCGAGTAAAGAAAACACCTCACAAATTTTAACGATTTATTTTTAGGATCAATAATAATTTTTGAGTACTTACACTGAGAAATTCAAGCATAAATTTGCCTCTTTATCCTAAACTATCATATTTGTGCTGCCTACTAATCCTCTAAAAAACCCGACTGAAAGAAAAGAAAAACAGATTTGCTATTATGGGACTCCTGAAAAAATCCTGATTACATCGATGATAGTTCTGGGAGAAATGTCTCATTAAATCACAGCAGGTTAAGTAACAGTTGATGCATAAAAATGTTTAAGTTGTGCTTTCTAAATAAGGATTTAAAAGATGTGTATATGTTTCCAGAGGCCCCTTTATTTCCCATTTTAAGGCATATTGGAAAGAATTCATTTAAAGTATGACAGAAAGAAGCGGTTGTTGAACTTATGGCAAAGTTCAAAGCATTGCATTAGACAGAATACTAGCTCTATCAATTCCTTAGGATGTTGTAATAAACAATTTGAATGATTACTTTATTATTCTATGAAAACATAAAAAGAACAACACTAAGAAGAACCCTATGGTTGGCCCCTGCCTCCCAACCCCCTCATCCCCGTGCTATTCATGATCTGAGGCTGAGCATCCATTGGCTGAAATGCCACCCACACACCAAACTCCCCGATTAAGCCACCCTTTACTTTTTTGTCATCACCCCCATGTTGTTATACTGACTCCACAAACACAGTAAGAAGATTTATAGTATCTCTATGTCACTTTCAATAATACACATTTTATTTTTAAGTTACTGTCTTTAAGTTTGAAAAACTTTCCATTTTATTGTTTAATAATGTGTAACTATAATTCTACTTGAAGTCTCAACATAATTATGCCATTTTAAAAGTGTGAGGTCGCTTTTTAATTAAATGAATCTTAAAAAGAGCAAATGACCAAAAAAGTCTGCCAAGTACTATCAAGTAAGTTATGTCTAAAGAGTTTGTCATATAAATTACTGTGTGGTAATTGTGCAGTATATTTCCCTCAAAGCCCCAATAACCTTCCATCTCTGGAGGCCTTGTGCTTCAGAGCCCTTTGCATTTCACAAATATTCATATCCTAATTAAATAAAATAGATGCTCAAACACTATTTATGTATAAATTACTAAAGAATCTAACTTTCTTATTTCCTCCCTTGTTCCCTCCCCTATCATACACTCAATATATCCATGGAAATTATGGTTTTAAGCCCCTAAAAATGACTTGTCAGTGTAACTTAAAATGTCAACAAAGAGAGAAAGTCAAAGGTTCTCAGGCCTGAGCCGGTGACAGGAGCGAACAAGGAAGAGAGAGCAAGGAAAACATTCCAACCTGAGTGGGAGTAGAAGAAGTGGTCTGAGTTTCAATAATCTATTTTACGGGATGTATTCTTTCCATATTAATATTTTGATGGGTTATTGCAAGAAACCACTGAATCTAGATCCTACCCCAGTTGCTTCCACCTGTGGATTCAGGTCCCGTTGACTGGACACCTCCCAGCATCCCCTGTCCTGAACCGTGACTAACAAAATATGATCTTAAGTGGGAGAGAGTGAGGCTCCACATGGTTTGAGTTTAACATACGCTAACATCGGCAATAATTATCCAAGTATCGGCCTGACAGTGAATGTTCTGGCTTCTGAATTTCAAATTATTTCATTTGCTAATGACAAAGCTAAAGCTAAGATGGATGTAGATACTTGGTGAGAGAATTACAGCTCTCACTACACATTAATCCATTGGCCTTGGTTCTCCTGGTGCATTAATCAAGGGGCTGCTTTGGTGTCTCGAATGAGGAGAGTTAGTCTCTGTGAGGGTGACATGGTGGACCATGGCCCAAGGGGTCAGCAGGAAGAGGCAGAGAGAACCAGACTCCCCACTTTTGCTTCTTAAAAACATTGCTGGAAAAATCTCTTAAACTCGTATATATAAAGTATATCTTCAAGTTTAAAGAAGGATGCATTCTTTTTCACAGCGATGATGTGCTGTTACCTTTTGCAAAGGGACAACTTGAGTGAAAACAGAGCCGTGTTGCTGAGCTGCCTGATTGCAATGGCATTTGTTCCCCAGGACAATGCTAATGAACTCTGCATCCCTCACAGAGGTGAGTGTCTTATTGTTTGTTTAAGAAGCCCTAGGCTCATATTATCTTTTCAAAAACATTTTATGTTATTGAAAATTTCCCCCAAAATGTATTCTTTATGAAGCTGTCATTTGGTTGAGTTTTATGTCTTTATATCTTCCAGCACCAAAAACTAGCAATTTTCTTCACTCATGTTTTATCTATTTTCAATACTTATATTTTTAAATATTCTGCAGTAGGACATGTCTGAATATAGAAAGTCACAATAAACAATTAGAGTTGTATTCTTAATACATCATTCACTCAACAGGAAATTATTTAATCTAGTTTCAGATGTACAAAATACTAGCTTTAAAATGTACTTCTGGTGAAGAGTTCTCTCCTAGAGAAAAGAATCTATTTGTAAAGATAATAATTCTGATGCTGACAGATAAAACTTCCTATACGTAGTATTTAACTGAATGCCATTGTAAAGTAATTATAGACTGGAAAATTAATAGGAGGGCTAACGCCGCTCACAACGTTATCTTGAAGTCTGTTGCTAAGTATGAGTCACCGTTACTTTTAAGATAGTTTATACATTAAATGCTTGAGATGGTGCTCTAATTGGGAAGATCCAAGGGGTTCCTGCCTGAATGCAGGATGTGACTGAAGGGTCCATATGCAAGCCAGTCCTGCAGGCTTGCCACCCTAGGGAGTGTGTGAAGAAACAGCAGGATTCTGGCAAACAGCGGGAGGATACAAATTAAAAGCATAGAAGGATGTTAGGGAATTGAAACTTGATGTTCAGGAGGCAGAGGTTAGGCAAACACTCATTGGCAAAATTACAATAAGGGTTAAACGCAAAAACGTATTCTATAAACCTTGGTAATCGGAACCAGGTCTGAACTTATGCCATTTCTTTGACCCCAATTCCACCATACCTACAATTGAGCCCATTTAAACTAGACATATGAAAGCTGCTAATTTATCCGAGGAATTTGATCTAAATGATGTTAATGTTGTTAACAGGCCTGTGTGGTTTCTGACCAAATGCAGAATATATTTGTTGTTTTACTTCTGCAACTTTAAGTTGAACAATTTTTTCTTCAGTGATTTTGTTATACAAATATGCAAAGGGATGATGATTTCTCAAACCCCATTCCTGGGATTCAAAGGAAATAAATTTCCAGTCATTTGCATGAGTTTGAATTTTTCTGGAGCTGCCTGCCTGTTTGCCCCATCTCCATCCCAGGGGAACAATTCTAAAATGCGAACTGAAAGACAGGGGTCTGTGGATGCTAAACGGAGACCAAGCCTCGACTTCAACTAAACTTCCGGACGAGTATTGCCCTCTGAGATTGTCAGAAAATCTTATTTTAGTACCAAAATGTATCCCAGAGTCTGGGGCATTAGCTGGGCCCTAACACAAGCTTTTCAAACTTAGATTTTGAATCTTAACTCTGATAATAATGGAAAGTTGTCAATTGAAGTGGAGTGACTAATTTTTACCTTGGGATGGTCATCAAAGTAGATCCATAAGTAGAATTAACTCCGTTAATCTAATTGAAAGGCACTGTTGCCCAGTCTCAGTGGCTCAGCTGGGTGAGCGTGGACCCATGCACCAAGATGTCACAGGTTTGATTCCTGGTAAGGACACATGCCTGGGTTCCAGGCTCCATCCCCAGTGGGGGGCATGCAGGAAGCAGCTGATCAATGTTGCTCTCATTGATATTCCTATATCTCTCTCCCTCTCCTTCCCTTTCTCTCTGAAATCAATAAAAACATATTAAATAAATAGAAGGCACTATCTATGGAGGAGGACTGGCTATATAAAATTTGAAGACAGATATTGATAATGTTATGCGCTGTGAAGCTATAACTTAACCTACATGACAAACTCAGCTTCGAATTTAGCTCATGAACTATTTGCAATTTCATACCAATTGGGAAGTGTCTTATTCAGTTCAGCCTGCTCTATATAGCAAAATACCATAGACTGGGTGGTTTGAACAACAGGCATTTATTTCTCACAGTTCTGGAGGCTGGCAAGTCCAAGATTAAGGTCTTGTTATAGTCAGTCCCTGGTAAGGGCTCACTTTCTGGCTTTTTGATGGCTGCCTTTTTACTGTATCCTCACATGGCAGAAGGAAAGTAAGCAAGCTTCCTGGTGTCTCTTTATATAAGGGTACTAATTCCATCATGTGGACCCCACCCTCGTGACCTCTTCTAACCCCAATTATCTCCCAAAGGCCACATCTTCAATATTGTTGTATTGGGAATTTGGGCTTAAACAATTCATTTTGGGCTAACACAATTCAGTCCACAGCAAGACAGCATCCAAGATTTTAAAAATCATGGTGTCTGGTTTATATTTTACTTTACAAAAAGTCCAACACGAAGTTAAAGAAGAGATGCATAAACAGTTATATCAGGAAGAGTCCCAAATATAGCTCATTCTAGGGCATAATTTTAGTTAAAAATCGTGTGATGTTTAATTTAACAACAACTAGTTTCAGTAAAGCATCAAAAGGATTCATTGCTGGGGCCACTATCACTCATTGTGACCCAGACTATGAAAAGGAAAACCCGGTGTATTTTCCATCAAGACAGCGCTTTAAAATGAAGTGCTTTGTACTTACCACTGACTCCCTTTAAGAGAGAAAAAGTGAAGCTGCTCTGAATCAGAGCCATTCCCCACCACCCTGCTGAATGCAGTCTTTAACATTTAGAAGATGTTTTATTTTTACAAAAACACAGTTAGAGATCTATTTTGAGGATTTGTTATAATTTTTTTAGCCCTCTGTGAGCCCCCCAGGAAGTGGGGGAATTTACAACCTGTATAACCAGACTAAACGACCAAAAAAGGCATGAGTTTAGACACTGTCCAGAATACATGAGGGAGCTGCACAGAGGAGTGAGATGCAGACCCTGCCTTGGGCTTCCTCCCTAAGAGATAAAAATAAAAAGAAGACAGAGAGAGAAGGGCCCTCCTCTCCAGGCAGAGGCACCACAGGAGCTGGATGAGGACCTGGCAGCGAGTCCATGCACTCTGTCTGAAAACGGTGAGCCAACCGTGGTTTCAGCAGCTCCCTTTTCTGGGCTAGTGGGAAACATATAAAAGATGAAGAGATCAGCCCGGCCGGTGTGGCTCAGTGGTTGAGCATAGACCTATGAACCAGGAGGTCATGGTTCAATTCCCAGTCAGGGCACATGCCCAGTTGTGGACTCAATCCCCAGTGTGGGATCAATAATCCATTTGACATAAGTCCAAATATGCCTTAATAGGAAATTATCCTTTATAGAGTGTATTTAATTGAAGAAAGACATTTAAAATACATATATATTTCTTCTTCCAGGCAATCAGAGCAAACACAACAGAGAACAACCCACTTCAGGACTGGGAGATTATATGCTGTCATTCCAAACAATTAAGAAGAGACATATTCAAAACAAAAACTTTGTGTGGCACAAGAAGCTTATGGGCTATTTTTTCATTTTCTTTTTAAACATCACTTACTGCTTTGTTAGGCATGAAATGTTGAACAGGTTTAAAAATAGTGTAAGTGAAATACCTCGCATGGTTTGAAGCATGTGGTAGATATTCAGTTATTTTGATTTTCTGCTGTGGTTGGGACACATCTGAGGAGGGAGACAAAGGCCGGAGAGAACAGTTTGAAAAGGAGGTCAAGGTTCTTATTGCGACAAATGACTTCCCAGGCTGGCCCTTGCCATGGAGTCAGGAGCTGACGCACAGCTCTTATTGATCAGCTGTGGCAGCCGATTCACTTATAGAATTGATGCCTCCTCTGGAGAGGCAGAACCCTCTTACTGAAGAGCCTGAAACATAGCCGTCTCTTTTGTAGCGTAAAGAAGCATACGGTAGTAGACATCATCTTTGCCTCTTGGGTTACCACAGTGCTGTGATCTCCTGGATGGTTATATCTGGTGTTCAGCAGAATTCACACATTTATTCTTTATACATTTATTTTGCAGGGAGCTATAAACCAGACATGAGCATTTTCTTTAAAAACTTATTTTATTTTATTTTATTTTTATTTTATTTTTAAATATATTTTATTGATTTTTTACAGAGAGGAAGGGAGAGGGATAGAGAGTTAGAAACATCGATGAGAGAGAAACATCGATCAGCTGCCTCCTGCACACTCCCCACTGAGGATGTGCCTGCAACTAAGGTACATGCCCTTGACCGGAATCGAACCTGGGAACCTTGAGTCCGCAGGCCGATGCTCTATCCACTGAGCCAAACCAGTTAGGGCTAAAAACTTATTTTAGACAAAGGTGCCACGGGTATGTGAACAGAGGTGATTTTACAAGTTATAAAAAATATATGATGTTTTCACTACTATAGTGATAAACGCATCAGAGATTTATTTTATTTTTTTAAATATATTTTTTATTGATTTTAGAGAGGAAGGGAGAGGGAGAGAGAGAGAAACATCAATGATGAGAGAATCATTGATTAGCTGCCTCCTGCATGCCCCCTACTGGGGATAGAGCCCACAACCGGGCATGTGCCCTTGACCGGAATTGAACACAGGACCTTTCAGTCCACAGGCCAAACCCCACTGAGCCAAACCGGCGAGGGCAATGCATCATAGATTTAATAGAGTCTCATCTTTATCCTGAATAAATAGAACTTTTGAAATAAAAACATGCACCCAGTTGACCTCAAATGTAAAATTTGCCTTTAAAAATTGGTGCAATGTCTTTACTATTAAAGTTGCCTAAGTCGAGCTAGTATGCTCCCTCCTAAAGAACTATTTTCCCCAAACATTTTAGTGCCGGTTTTACATTCCACGTGAAAGGATCCCTCCGGTTTACAGATGCACCAGACAGGGTGTGAAGCTAGGGATGCTTTTCTCTTAACTGAAACATGTACCGTTTCAGAAGACGTCTCTGTTGATCAGATATTATAGGCTGTGATTTGGTTCAAGCTGTGAGGCAAATCTGGCAATTCAGTTAAAATCAACATGAAAGTCTGTAAAGCAATTTGTGGTCTGCAGTAAAAAGCGCTGGTT